CAGCGTCAGAAGCGTCTTGCCTGGGCTAAAGAGAAACAGGACTGGACTGCTGGTGAGTGGTCCAAAGTCATGTTCTCTGATGAAAGTAAATTTTGCATTTCCTTTGGAAATCAAGGTCCCAGAGTCTGGAGGAAAAGAAGAGAGGCACTTCATCCACGTTGCTTGAAGTCCAGTGTAAAGTTTCCACAGTCAGTGATGGTTTGGGGTGCCATGTCATCTGCTGGTGTTGGTCCATTGTGTTTTCTGAGGTCCAGGGTCAACGCAGCCACATACCAGGAAGTTTTAGAGCACTTCATGCTTCCTGCAGCTGACCAACTTTTTGGAGATGCAGATTTCATTTTCCAACAGGACTTGGCACCTGCACACAGTGCCAAAGCTACCAGTACCTGGTTGAAGGACCATGGTATCCCTGTTCTTAATTGGCCAGCAAACTCTCCTGACCTTAACCCCATAGAAAATCTATGGGGTATTGTGAAGAAGAAGATGCAATACACCAGACCCAACAATTCAGAAGAGCTACACTATATTGCCAAAAGTATTTGCTCACCCATCCAAATTATTGGAATCAGGTGTTCCAATCACTTCCATGGCCACAGGTGTATAAATTCAAGCACCTAGGCATGCAGACTGTTTTTACAAACATTTGTGAAAGAATGGGTCGCTCTCAGGAGCTCAGTGAATTCCAGCGTGGAACTGTGATAGGATGCCACCTGTGCAACAAATCCAGTCGTGAAATTTCCTCGCTCCTAAATATTCCACAGTCAACTGTCAGCTGTATTATAAGAAAATGGAAGTGTTTGGGAACGACAGCAACTCAGCCACGAAGTGGTAGGCCACGTAAACTGACGGAGCGGGGTCAGCGGATGCTGACGCGCATAGTGCGAAGAGGTCGCCAACTTTCTGCAGAGTCAATCACTACAGACCTCCAAACTTCATGTGGCCTTCAGATTAGCTCAAGAACAGTGCGCAGAGAGCTTCATGGAATGGGTTTCCATGGTCGAGCAGCTGCATCCAAGCCATACATCACCAAGTGCAATGCAAAGCGTCGGATGCGGTGGTGTAAAGCACGCCGCCACTGGACTCTAGAGCAGTGGAGACGCGTTCTCTGGAGTGACGAATCGCGCTTCTCCATCTGGCAATCTGATGGACGGGTCTCGGTTTGGCGGTTGCCAGGAGAACGGTACTTGTCTGACTGCATTGTGCCAAGTGTAAAGTTTGGTGGAGGGGGGATTATGGTGTGGGGTTGTTTTTCAGGAGCTGGGCTTGGCCCCTTAGTTCCAGTGAAAGGAACTCTGAATGCTTCAGCATACCAAGACATTTTGGACAATTCCATGCTCCCAACTTTGTGGGAACAGTTTGGAGCTGGCCCCTTCCTCTTCCAACATGACTGTGCACCAGTGCACAAAGCAAGGTCCATAAAGACATGGATGACAGAGTCTGGTGTGGATGAACTTGACTGGCCTGCACAGAGTCCTGACCTCAACCCGATAGAACACCTTTGGGATGAATTAGAGCGGAGACTGAGAGCCAGGCCTTCTCGTCCAACATCAGTGTGCGACCTCACAAATGCGCTTCTGGAAGAATGGTCAAAAATTCCCATAAACACACTCCTAAACCTTGTGGACAGCCTTCCCAGAAGAGTTGAAGCTGTTCTAGCTGCAAAGGGTGGACCGACGTCATATTGAACCCTATGGATTAGGAACGGGATGTCACTTAAGCTCATATGTGAGTCAAGGCAGGTGAGCAAATACTTTTGGCAATATAGTGTAAAAGCCACTATTAGAGCAACCTGGGCTATCATAACACCTGAGCAGTGCCACAGACTGATCGACTCCATGCCACGCCGCATTGCTGCAGTAATACAGGCCAAAGGAGGCCCAACTAAATACTGAGTGCTGTACATGCTCATACTTTTCATGTTCATACTTTTCAGTTGGCCAACATTTCTATAAATCCTTTGTTTTTATTGGTCTTCAGTAATATTCTAATTTTCTGATATGATGAATTTGAGATTTTCATTTGTTGTCATTTGTAATCATCAAAATTAAACAAAATAAACATCTGAAATATATGAGTTTGTATGTAATGTATGAATATAATATACAAGTTTTACTTTTTAAATGGAATTACTGAAATCAATCTACTTTTTCATGATATTCTAATTTTATGACCAGCACCTGTAAAGTCGCCCAACACACAAGAAGTATTTAGGAAGATACTTAGTGAATAGGTGTTGCTTATTAAAATATACAATATTTCTAAGGCCCTAAACATACTGTCCTCTTCCAGAATACAGAATACTGCACTTGTTATAAACATTGTGTTGAACAACTATCACCTATTTTTACTGAGCAGAGCAGTACTTTCATTCTCTTTTGCAGGAAACAATCAAGTATTAATCCCAATTCCCACAGTTCTATCCCCAACTGAGAACAACCATTATTGCCCTATTGCGAAAATTTAATTAGTCATGAAAAAATGATTAAAATGTACATTGTCTCATATACACATCAGTTATTAAACCCCCTGCAACTTAGTTATCAGTATTGCACAGGGGTTGAAATGTACATAGGAATATATTGCATCTTGTCTTTCTGCATGTGGAGCACGTCAGATTTTTTTTATTTTTAGATTTTTTTTTTTTTAAATCAGCTTTTCACACAATCCAATTTAATATACCAACAACAGGCTTTGTGAAGATGGAGCGTTTGGCTGTTTAACTTCATTCATCAGAGAGTTCAGCAACTGTAGGTGAACTGTTCTCTTTTGGATATAACCATCCCTAATGTAGGATGTCCCTAAGGCTGTATGTTATCCCCTTGTTATTTATTCTTTATCCAACAGCTGCTCATGAGACAGCCTTTCCTCACCATTCTCTAGAGTAGTGATAAAAGCTAACATGGTCCACCATGGGATGAGTTTTCAAATTGGTGGGAAAGGTTGGTGTTTAACCTGCAAAAGAGATGTTGATTGATTTTAGGCAAAAACTAGATTGTCTGACAACTATCAGAGGGCAGGCAGTGCAAACTGTAAATGAGAACAAGTGTTCTGGGATGGTTCTAGATAACGACCTAAAGTGAGAAGAATGAACATAACTAATTCAGAAAAGGATGCAGTGGCTTTGCTTAAAAAAAGCTGTCCCAAATCAAATTTTTGCCCATTTGTGACCTGTATCTGATCTTTTCATGACAGTCTGAACAACACAAATGAGATTTTTCCAATGCGACCCAGGTCACTTGGCTATGTAGTCATGAATCCGATGAATCAGATGAATCTGATACGTTTCTGATCTTTTCAAATGCGAGCTGTGTGTGAACGGCCAGGTCGCATTCATCTGATCTGTACGTCATTAATGCTCAACAAAGGTCCCAATTGTACGTCTTGCTATGCAGAAGCAGGAAGAAAAACCACAACCATGGCGGACGATAATGTGGAGAGCAGTCTTTATTTTTATGTCTTAAATGCACGGGCTGAGTTTGGAAAAGATTGCTAGATGTGCTTCAGCACTAGCATCCATGTTTACTTCCATAAACACAGAGCACGCTTGATTATGGCGTCATTGCGTCCTCTACTGCACGTGCGGGACACTTAAGTTGTATGAATAAAGTTCACACAGGAGATCACATACAATATATTTGGAAATGTGAACAACCTAGCCTTAGTTATTGTTAAAATGCTGAAGCTACTTACAGGCCTTTTGAGTGTTCTGAGTAATTGTAATATTTTGTGACAATTCATAATGAAATACTATAAAGAAAAACTTGGAACTGGTCTGCAAACTGATTTATTATCGAGGTAGAAACTATTCTTGCTGATCAAAAGCTTCTTTTTCACTTCTTTGAACTGGTATCTGCAGATAAAATGTATTGCTTCCCGGCTCTCAAATAAATAAGTAAAACAAAACAATGATTTGTACTGAAAGAAATTAGTTCATTTATGTTGAACCAGTGCGTTTAACAAAAGATGTCAGTCATGGTCAGGCCTAAAATGGTACAATATATTTCTTTTAGGAAAACATGTTTTAATCAACTATGTATTTAATGCATTTTCAGAAATCTAATGATATATCATAGAGTGGGCTGCTCAGTGGGTAGCACAAGGTTCTGGGTTCGATTCCAAGCCCGGGGTCTTTCTGCATGGAGTTTGCATGTTCTCCCTGAGCATGCGTGGGTTCTCTCCAGGTACTCCGGCTTCCTCCCACAGTCCAAAAACATCACTGTTAGATTAATTGGCTTTTCTAAAGTCCCCTTAGGTGTGTGTGTGTGTGAATGGTTGTTTGTCTGTGTGTTGCCCTGCAATGGACTGGTGACCTGTCCAGTGTGTACCCCGCCTCACGCCCGTAGACAGCTGGAGATAGGCACCAGCACCCCTCACGACCCCATTTGGGATAAGCGTGTTAGAAAATAGATGGATGGAAGGATATCGTAGAGTGGTATGCATTAAGAGCTGCAGAGGGTGTTGTGGTTGAGTCTGTCTTTAAGTTGTCTGCGGTTTCTTGTGTGTTACATTCACTGGAACAATAAACTATTTAGTCTTGTCCATTTTGAAACACTCTATGTTGGTTTTTCTTTATAGGTAACGTGAACAGATATGAATGTTTGAAATCGATCGGTCTGTGTGGTGAAGTTATATGAAAAATTAATACGAGTTTCACATTTTTGAGAAAATCAATTAGGCAAATGTACTTTTTACTAATATTCTTATTCACTAAGATGCATTTGTGTCTGGAGATGTTTCATATTTTGTTAACCAAAACAAAGTGTTATTCATCTTCTAATTTAACTCTTTATGCCAAGATATAAGAATTATTTGTTTTCAAGTTGACGTCATACGATTGCTAACATGACAAACAGTTTGTTGGTCCTCTTTCAGCATTTCTCCTCTTGAAATAATGCCCGTCAATAATTCAGTTTTCTCTCTCACACTGAAGATCACTTGGATTTATCTTGTCTCTGTTTCTGTTTTCTTCTTATTTCTCTTTCTTTTTACTGTCCCTTCAGAATTTGCTGACTCTGGTGAGTTACTCCTCGAATTTCTGTGTCCCTTACCTCCCCTCCTCTCTTCCCACCCCTTGTATACGCCAACAGCAAATATGTTTGTTCTCATTCTAGCATCTGGGAGGCAGCTCCAACGTGGTTTCTTATGTATACATCTCCTTATAGCCTCTGTGCTGTATGTCAGCTATCTCCCTTATGGAGCTATATCGGTCTCAATTTTCACAAATACACATGTGATCCATACATGCACAGCACGATTCACACAAGCACAAAAAAATCCACAAACACACAGTACAAGATCCACAGCATGATTGACACAAGCCAACAAGATCCACACATGCACAAAACAAGATTCACCAAAGTATTTCTGGTCCATAAACAATTATAAATTGAATTGCAAAGTGCCAATGATCTTTAAACTTCACTGCATTTATGCATGGATTTTTGAGACTGCCCTGACATGCCTCGATACACAAATGCATTTCTTTAAGCAGGGGATGGTTTGCCACCAATCACAAAGCTCCCTTGTATAAGTGAATCGCAAGAAAGTACTCCATGTGGCATGACTGACCCCCAGATTCAACATCCTCCGCTCCGTCCTGCACAAGTATGTTGTATGGCGCACTCATGTTAATCAATGAGAACTGTTCCATATCCAGCGCTACTCCTTTGAACATCACCCTCCACGCACTTCTTCTCCATCCGTCAAAATACGGAGCCCAGCTACTTTTTGGTCCGCTCTTGTCTGGCCAGGTCAAGATCCGCAATAGCAATCACACTAAACAGGAAAAAGAACTAAAGATTTGGTGTGTCAAATTAAAACATGGTAGCGACAGATCAGTAACTCTACAAATTAGAACATAGTTCTTATATATTATAGGACAATTTAATTAAATAATTGGATGCAAACTTTTGATACTTCAAAATACCAGGAAGCAGATTTCTCATCTCAATTAAAATATTTACTTTATACCGAGAGGTTTAAAAGTTTAATAAAATCCAGTTACAACAACTTCCAAGAGCGCCCTCTCACAACTTCAAAAGAAAATTCTTATGGCAGGCATGGATGAAGAGATTGTGAGTTTGGAGGTAGAGAACAAACCAAATTTATATGATTATTCCTATTACAAAGACCTACAATGAAAAAAATATGTTTGGGCAGAAACTTGTGTGATTGATGCTGATGGTGAAATTTTATTATATCATATTAAATAAAGCATTCATTACTGCAGGTTTTTCTCATATGTATTAAATAATAATATAGCACATGCTCTCCCTTAGCTTCGAGGAAGTCGGATGGGAGCAACCGTAGAGGATGTAGGCTTTGCTTTGCACAGGCGGACTGGAACGAAGCGGCGGGGATATGGATGATGTGGGATCTGGGGGGTCATCCCACAAAGAGCACTTTCTTGTTATTGGCTTATACTGTACAAGGGAGCTTTGTAATTGGTGCTAAACGATCCCCTGCTTAAAAAAATGAGTATCGAGGCACATCAGCGCAGTCTCAAAAATCCACAAACGAATGCAGTGAAGTTTAAAGACCGCTGGTACTTTGTAATTTAATTTATAATTTTTTATGGACCAGAAATACTTTGGTGTATCCTGTTCTGTGCATGTGTGGATCTTGTCCTTTGTGTGTGTGGATTTTTCGTGCTTGTGTGAATCGTGCTTGGCATCTGTGGATCTTGTCCTGTGAATGTATGAATCACATATGTGTATTTGTGAAAATTGAGACCGATCTAGCTCCATACTCCCTTAAATATGTCATTCTCTTCTGTGGATGCTTTCTGCTTGGAAACCCCGCTGTGATCATTTCTGCATCGTTTTTTCCCCATTGTTCCCAATCCTCTCTCTCCTCTTTTATATATATGTATTTTTATAGTTTTGGCTTTTTGTTGATGTTTTCTGTGAAGAAAAACAGAAAAAAAATATTCCCTGTACTTGGAAGAATCAGTTTGGAGTAGATGATGTGTAAGTTCCTTTTATCTTGAGCTAAGTTTCTAAACTCATGCATTTTCTTTTGTTAAATCCCTGTCAATAAGTCGATAAGAGCTTGGCAGAGCAATCGATTGAACTTTTTTCCTTTAATTGCTTTTTTCTTTAATAAACTGTTATCGTCACACATTCCCCTGCTCCTTACAGCTTCTGTGTTTACTCAGCATCAAGATTTTGCCCATCCGCTTGTCTTGTGGTCCCCTTAGTTTAAATATAATTTAGTTAAGTTTTAATTTGAGACCTACTTAAAAAAAAACAAAAGTTGTAATGGACTGGGACAGTTTGTTTTAGACTTTAACATGAAGTTCCTCCAGCCATGTGCAGTTACAAACAAAATCACTCAGGATGGCTATGAAATATTGAACAGCACAGAGATATTGGGAGAGCAGGGAGGGGAGGAGCCCACTCAATCGTCTGAGGCCTCTGTAGACGTCTCTTAAAAATCCCACTCAGAATTCAGGCAGCCTGCTTTTCTTTCAAGCTCTTCCATAAGATTTATCACACTGGGCTGCAAATTCCTAAGCCTATTTGTGTCTTTATATATGGATTCACTCTTGCATAAAAGACTGTGTCCAAATACATTGGTGGTCAAAGACTGATGCATGCTCATTACGGTCACTAAGGTCACATTTCAACATCAAGACCACCTTCAACAGTAAATTTGAGATAGAGAAGGGAAAAAATGGGGGAACTTTAATGAAATTTGACTCGAGGGGGATGTAAAATGGACAGGCCAGAATCTCTCCAGGTATTTTTGATCATTAATGATAGTGGAGGGAGTAATACGGGGGGGAGGAGGCCAGCTTTCAATAGGTAGAATCTACAGAATGAGATGCTTTTATACTGCAGCACTGGATCTGAATCAATCAGAATGTTCATTTTCTATAAGGTCTATTTTTGTGTTCTATCTTCCAGAGTGAAATGCTGAGAATACTAAAAATGGAAAAAAAATTAAACACAAGAACTGGATGCACAGGCTTTCATTTCTGATGGATTTTCTTTCATCTACATGGGGCTAAATGCATACACACATGATCATATACATACAGAAACGCCCCCACTATTTAGTTCATTTACAGCATTCTTGCAAAATCCATTTACCTACTTCAAGCATGACAATGAGTATAGCTAGTAAGGCTCATTTATGTTGTTTGGATCTCTAGCACAAACCAGTCTATCTACAATAAGGTAAAAAAAAAGTTGGTGAGGACAATTTGTGCACTTACTTTTTTAAAGCTTTAAAGGTTCAAACTAATCATTAAAGCCCCAAAATTAATACTGACAGGCTGCCAATTTAGATTAGAGGTACATTTCTGACTAGAGATAAAATGTATGATTTAAAGATAGAAAGACTAAGTTTCATTTAACTTGCTGTTTGCTTTGAGCACTCACCAACTCACAGCCATGCGAATGCGATATACACTGCATTAATGCGGCGGCTCAGTCTGTTCAGCCACTTCCCCCCTGATTGTTATCTTACTGAGATAGACAAGAAAGATTACTCACCCTGCCACTGTGACCTTGTGCATCTTTGTTGATGTCAGGTCATTTTTTTTTTTTTTAGAGCGAAGGGCACAACAACATCCTTAGTGGTCTAAGTAGAGACCAAAGAAGGTGATCTGTGTGCATGCTGCACACTTATTTGCAGACAAACTGCTTACAGGGCATAGCTATTGGCATGAAAAGAGGGCATAGCTGTTAGTTTCCTTGGAAACTTTCAATGCTAACCCAAGGACAGCCATTTAGATTTTATTTGTTCGTACACAGAAAAACAAATATTGAAAGTTGTGAGTTTATTATCTTCAATTTAACAACCATAAAAAGGGAAGGGTAAATCTTCTCACACCAGTAGCCCTGTCTGATAGCTGACCCAGGGCCACATTGATCACACAGTTCAATATTGCACTCACTGTCACTGGCCCCCTGGGCAATGGAAATGCATTTTCCATTTCTACAAATATAATACATTGACTTTTTTTTTTAACTTGCATGTTGTATCAACACAACTTTAGACTTCATTGGTATATAGCAGTCAAAAAGCTGATATAATTTGACACTGGTGTCAGATATTACCTGATATAGGACTTGGGTATTCTGATATCCCAGCACTCTGTAAAGTGTAAAATTTCCTAATTACTCTCAGTTCCTTTACATGTTAAATTTGTGCTACATGACATTTTTAAAACCTTTTATTTCAATTTATCCATAAGTGTGCTAAGGGTATGTCATTTATTGAGAGTGGAGTTTGGCTAAATTCATGTATATCATTTTTAATCCTTGTCCCTGACATTGACAGCCTACTTTTCGGTTTGTGAATATTAAGCTGATCCATAATTTTTTTTATAAATAGTATCTGACTCATGTCTTGAAGAAAAGGGGTGAAAACATATGAAATTATTGACAATGAAGCTGTAATACATAATTCTGCATTTTTTAAATATGGTTTAAACAAATTAAAAAGAACTGATGGACATGATGCAGTGTGTCTGCAATTTGCAGACACAAGAAATAATTTCATTTGAGTTTTTGAAGCTCTCATGATGAGATAATAATGAGATAATGATTCATAAGTTAGACATCTTAAAAAACAAATATTGATTGATTGATTGACTTTATTGATCTCACAGAGGAGAAATTTACTCAAGCACTTAATGAAGATCCACTGGACTGAAAGCACTTTTAAGACATTCAGACAGCAAGCTTTTTCACCATGTTGTCTTACTGTTCTTTCATTTCCAACATGTTCCGCCTGTCTGAAAATTAGCTTTCCCATAAGTATTAGCTTTCCCATCCTGGTATTCAGATCCCTTTAAATTTTGCTCGTTTCATTGCAACAGTTGATTTTATTTCTCATAAATCTACACTCAAAATCCCGTCCTGATGGAAAAAAAACAAAACAGAACTCTTGAAAAATTCTGATCACCTTTAAAAAAGAAAAGAATATAACATAGTCATGAGTATTGAAACCCTTTGCTGTGACTCTCGTATTTAACTCACATGCTGTCTATTTCTTTTGATCCTCCTTGATATGGTTTTCCTACTCACTGGAATCATTGGACTTGATTAGAAAAAGCAAACGCCTGTCTATAATAGACCTCACAGTGCGTGTCAGAGCAAACGAGAATCATGAGGTCAAAGGAACGGCCCAAGGAGCTCAGAGACAGAATTGTTGTAAAGTACAGATCTGGCCAAGGTTAAAAAAAAGACCTTCTGCAGCACTTAAGGTTCTTAAGATCACAGTGGCCTCCGTAGTTCTTAAATAGAAGAAGTTTGGGGTGACCAGAGCTCTTCTTAGACTTTGCTTTCCAGCTAAACTGAGCCTTGTTAAGAGAGGTAAAGAAAAACCTGAAGATGACTGTGGCTGAGCTCCAGAGGACTACGATATGTAGTCATTGTAAACCTGATAAGTTGTATATGTAGAGTCTAATCTAGAAGATAATTAGCCTAGCTCTGAGATAGTCAGTAATGTAAATGACCTTAAGATTGAAATAAATTTTATATTGGACTTTAAATCAGATTTATCATATATTTATACATTTATTGATTATAAAAATAGAATGCTAAATCCATTGATCTAAGCCATGAGAGGATGGCATGTGTTAATTAGCATAGCTGCTCTTTTATAGTTTTATCAAAACACTAAATGTTGCATTCACAATGAATGCAGTGTACGAGTATCCCTATGCAAAGAGTGGGTGAGATGGGGGAAGTGGCCAGCAGAACATTCCATGTAGTGAGACAGTCACCACCACTCTCTCAGCGCACAGTGCAACGTGGCACCAAGGTGACCGCTGGGTGAAGTTGAATTATAAACTCTGTTAAATCTTGTTGCAGAGACCAATCAAGGACTGGCTCTGATCTAGATTGGAGAAGTGCAGTAGTGAAAATTTTTTTGTTTTTGTCAAAATCAAATGTAGAGGAATTAATGTTCATAAAGGATGATCTTGTAGCTGGCTTTTAAAAAATCTATTTTAATTTAGCCCTAGAAGGACTGTTTGTCATCCTTCTTTACAGTACATCCAGCACAGACACCGGCCAGTCGCTGCCACGTCTCCCTCACTCACACAAGGGGACTGTAGAATCCTTCATCATTGTTGTTGGGAACAGGCCCATGTATGCCTGCTCCTTTTCTCCAGCTTGGTGGATCTCTGCCTGGCAAGATACAAGGAAGTACTGCCGAATCTGACCTTCAACCAGACGTGGCTTTTGGGGTTGGTGGTGGTACACTACAAACAGATTCTTTTTCTGGAGAATTGGGGGGCCCCATAGACATCAATAAAGACCGCACAACAAAACAAGCTCTTTGACTCCATCCGTCTGTCCGTCCGTCTGTCCATCCATCCATCCATCCATTTTCATCCGCTTTATCCGGGGCTGGATCGTGGAGGCAGCAGTCTAAACAGAGATGCCCAGACTTCCCGATCCACACATACTTCCTCCAGCTGTTCTGGGGGGATCCAAAGGCAACACAAGGCAAACCCAGAGACATACTCCCTCCAGCATGTCCTTGGCCTTCCACAAGGTCCCCTCCCAATAGGACATGCCTAGAACACCTCCCAAAGGAGGTGACCAGGAGGCATCCAGAATAGATGCACGAGCCATCTCAGCTGGCTCCTTTCAACATTGAGGAAAAACTATTCTACTCCAAGCTCCTCCCGGGTAACTGAGCTCCTCACTTGATCTCAAAGGGTGCACACAACCACCTTGTGGCTCATTTCGCTTGCTTGTATTCACTATCTTGTCATTTCGGTCATTACCCAGATTTTATGACTGTAGGTGAGGGTGGGAACGTAGATAAAATTGAGAGCTTTACTTACTTTTGTTTTTGTTTACATATTCATTTAGTTAAGAAACAGCCAGTTTAGATTTCAGCTTCAAGCCATTCTTCCATCCTTTATACTCACTCCTACTTTCTCTTATCAAAACTGCAGTACAATTCCTTTCTTAAATGTTACATCAGTTTTTGTCCCCTTGATGTTAAGTTGATAAGAATTCAAATTTCTAGTGCGTTATGTAACAGAGCCCAGTCAGCCATCGCATCATCTGTCAAGCCATCATTTCTCCTATCAAACCACACACGCACACATGCCAGACCTCTGAGCCACCCCACACCACTAGGGTGATATAATCAATGTTAAAAGCCTTTTTGCCTTTGCACAGGCTGTGAATTCTCCTGACGCTCCAGCCTCCAGCAGACAAACTGGACCCGTACACACATTCACTCTCACGCTTGGCTCACCCATGGTTTTGAGGTCATGTCACAAGGACAAGCGTTTGATTTGTAAACAACAACAAACCTGGCTGTCTATCCTCACTTGCAGAGAATGAACACAGTGCTGTGTGAAAGCAGTAATTTTGCTTTGGAATAACTGTACTCAGGTACAGACTTGCCACGCTGTGCACTTAAATAAAAGCCGTCTAATTTAATGTGATTTAACACTTGTCTTGAAGAGAGCAAGTAGAGTGATATTTTGTGATAAGACACATTTTCAACTCGTAAGACAGATTTTTTTGCGCTGCCAAGTCCTATATTCAGCATGAGATTTTCACAATAATCTTACCCAGATTTCCTGAACACACAGTATCATAAAGTACATTCTAGCTTTTAAAGGTGTAGTGGAGGATGGCCTTTTTCCGGGTGGATCTTAAAAAATAAGTGGTCTTCCTAATTGTCAATCATTCTGCTGATATATCTACTGTAGTAGGGCTGTCCTAAGTGCTCATCTCCAGTTAGCTATCTTTTTCTGAGCATGCTCCCTGTCAAGTATATATCTGTGGTGCCAGTCATTGAAGCTCACTTTTCTCACCGCGGTTCTTTGAAAATAGCAGAGGGTCGTAAGAGAAAAAGTGCTTACAAATTGTACGAGAAGAAGAGAAAGTCCTCAGAAGAGAGAAACAAGCTCAGAGTGTTTTTGGGAGATTCTTTTATGCAATGGCACACTAAACCAAAGGTCTGGCTTCCCAACCGATGCCTTCCAAAGGCCTTCCGTAATATTCTTCTTTTTGCTTATTCATTTGCAGAATGCTTTTCCCAAAGTTTAGAAACATCAAGATGTTATTTTGTAAATGTGACACTACCCTTTGGGCCTTTTTTTAGGTCAACACTGGTTTTGGCCTTTGAGTTCTCATGGGTTGCCATTTTTGTCCAGTTTGTTCCTAAAGAATGTTGAACACTGACCTTCACTGGGGCAAGTGAGACCTGCAGTGTGTAAAAGGTTGTTCTGAGTTCTTATGTGTTCTCCTGGATGAATCACTAAAGTTGCTTCACCCCCTTTAGTTGGAACGTTATGCAGAGATATTAGAACTCTGCATTTTCATTGCAATTCTGTAAATATGTTTTTAGGCATCATTTTTGACCATGTTGGGATAACAGGACATCTGCTGTGCAATCCAAAATTGCCCCCAATTTTTTTATTCTTTTTTTTTTGCAGTTTTGTTCTTTTTAATCGTTCTACAAAAGCAGAGAGATTAAAAAAGAAATCTTAACGGCATTTATCAGAGTTTGATTTAATAGGGTCTATTGCTTTTCTTTTTTTTCCTCTTATCACCACCTGGTGGCAAGAAACCATTGGTTTGCTGTCTATTAAATGATTTTCTGTCCTAACAAATGCACTCAGGCTGCAGTTTAATCTGATGTGTTTCGGCTAAATGAGCAGACAACCCAGAACCTGCTGCTGGAAGAGAAGCAAACATATTCATAGTTGAAAGAGAACAGCTCCAAACTGGGAGCTGCTTTTTTTGTTTCTGAGGCGAAGATCAACGTGGGAGGCAGAAAACTGTGATCTGCTGCTTCTCGTTCAGCTGTTGCTGCAGATTTGTGTTCCTGGCTAATTCATCATGCAGATGTGCTGACCGTCCTGGTCCCCGTGGCACAGAGAACTGCTTCAGTAAGGGAATCAAATTAGCCGTGGTGGTTTCATTGTTGAAATAAAACGCTGAGTCATGAGGTTTTATTTGAAAAAGGTTGCATACAGAGGAGAGGAGGACCCATCTTTTTTGTTGCACGTTGACCCAGTATATTCTATTTTACATCGCTGTTTAGACTGTTTGATGTTATTTTATCCTTATGTTATAATTTCATCCCCTTTTCTTTTTTGTTATTCATACATCTTCTATCCAAATAAACTTCCACCAGGAGGCTATTTTTCAGTCCAATTCACGAATATATGACATGCAATCAAATCTTTGTTTTGCACTTATGCAGCGATGACTCGGAGAGATTTCTGTCTTTCTATTTGTCATTTCTTGTGACTGTTTCAGTGTTTTGCACAGTAGGTGACGTACATACAGCCGAACGAACCTGTGCTGCTCTGTTCACTATTTCCCTTTTCTTTGTGTGTTTGTTGCCTTACCCTGTGTCTTTTGCTGTGATGTTGTAGAGCTTGGGACTTATGGGAAACTAAAATATTATCACTCAATGACTGAGGAAGGTAAGCCCCAAACTTTTCACTATTTCCTTGTGTAATTCAGCCGTGGTCATCTCCTCTTGTTTTTATTTTTATTTTTCATTCACCTTCTCATGCTGAATCAGCACTTTGCTTCTGTTTTTTTGTGTGTGTTCTTGCTTGTGAAAGACATTTTGCACAGTTTCGATTTTCAGTTTGACAACTCTCTCTGAGATTTCACTGACATAAGTGCAAATCATGGTGTTCATGCCATTTTTTGAAACTTTTTATTTTAAGTTTGCATTCTTTTTACTTTAAAGTTCTGTTTATGTTTATGCCCTCAGAATATTTTTTGTGGGGTTTTTTTCCTGTGAGAGGGGTTGCCATTTTTGTATTTGTCATGTAAGACCAAAAAGTAAATCTCAAAGTGTCTTGCAAAATCATTCATTGACATTTTACCATGTTACAACCACAAGTTTTGATGTATTTCATTAGGATTTTATTTGACAGAATATTGCAAAATATGTAATAATAATAGCATTATATGGGCTGAAAGGTTGCATTTTATATTCCACAGACCATAAACCTTATTCTACAGGTTTGTAATGCCTATTGTACAATTTGTTGCAAACTCTTGGAGTTGTTATGGCTGTATCACTAAATTAGTCTTCAGTTTAGAATGACAACCTTATTTTAGGAGGTTTAAAGCATGGCCATACTCTTCTTATATTTGGATGTTGGCATTAAATTAGTTTGATAACTCCACTTAAAACTCCCTACAATGTTCTCTCAGACCTCTCTGTTGTCTTACTTGGTTTTCATGAAGCTGTATTTTCTAACATTCTCAACATTTTACAGAACGGTTGGAGCTGTTATCCAATATATATATAATATATATCTATATATCTGTTTTTTCTTGATTTTATGCAGAAGCATCAAAGTAAAAGGGCTGAAAAATGTCACGACACAAATTTGCCAATTTATTAGTAAAAAAAAACTTTGAAAAAATATAAAACTACATATCACTTTCTTTCCAAATAATGCAATGCACGACAAGAATACGATAATAATTGCAGTTTGTGGTTGTAACTGTGAAAATGCAGAAACTGTCAGAGGTTATGAGTACTTGCAAGAAATATTATATATTGTTCTGTTAACATTCTAAAATATCTATTTCACAGGCAGCTAAAACATCAAATATTCACATGTAAAGTCTTGTTAAGAATTCAAGAGACAAAAACAACAAGATCTTTTTTTTTTCCTTCATTGCTCTATTTCTTTGTTCCTGTAAGCCATCTGCGTTGCTGAGAAATACATCATCCACGCCTCAGTGCTTGCTTGGAGGTTTCACTTACACCAGCAGCGGGTGTGCACACCTGAGACGTACGTTGCTGAATTTGGCAAACCGGAATGACTCATCCACCCGGTGCTTACGTAACGAGCAGAGCTGACAGGGAAACAGAGCAGCTGTGTCAGTGGCAGGCATGCAGGGAAGAAGAGGCTTGGTTATTCTCCAAGAGTCTTTGTTTCACAAATGATATGCAGTTTGGGGAAAGTGTAAATTGATGAGTTTAGGAAGCTACGTTTTAATTCAGATGGCATCTCTTAAAAAAAAAAAAAGTCTTTGTAACCCTTAAAAATATTTCCCTCTAAACTTGTCTCTATGAATTGCTTCATGCTTTTGTAGATTTCTAAACATTACTGAGCAGAACCTGACTCTTTCTCTTATCAACCAAAAAAAAACTGAATGGAGGTACTAAAAATGTGATACAGCTGTAAAAAGCCGTAAACAAAAAAGATAAATGATTCCAAAATGACAGTAAAATGTGACTAAATGACTGCAGAGTATCATGAATAGAGACCTGCAAAACTATTGTCTACTGCAAATCCCTCTGAATGCTAGATTTAATGCAGTGCAAAAGTATTATTTCACATATAAATACCTCAGATCTTCAAACACATTTAATCAGAGAGAGAGAGAGACAGCAATAAATGCAAATAGTTTATATTTATTTTCTTCAGGGGAATTAAATCTATCCAAACCAGTCCTTTGTGAAAAAGTAAATACCTCCTTGTTAGCTGAGAAAAACTGCATTTTCTGGAAAGCTGTCACTTGCCTTGCAGATTTAATTACCGGTACTAGCAAACTTAAACAGAATTTGTGTAGCTAAATGAAATCGGCAAAACTGCTGTATTTTAAAACTAAACACAGTATGACCTGACCTAATCAATCTCAATAGCATATATTGTTTTTAATTAGTGAATTTTATGGTTTTTGTATTTATGCTTGTGTGCAGCACTTTGGTCCTATTGGTTTTTTAAAGTGTTATATAAATAAAGTTGGATTGGATTGTTTTGGAAGAGCAAAATAAATTCAATTCAATTCAATTCAATTCAGTTTATTTATATAGCGCCAAATTCACAACACATGTCATCTCAAGGCACTTTACAGTTCAACCAGATCATACAGTCAAATTGATACAAAGTTTTCTATCTAAGGAAAACCAGTTGATTGCATTGACTCATTGACTCAAATACAATCCCTCACACTAAGCATGCTTGTAGCGACAGTGGAGAGGAAAAACTCCCTTTTAACAGGAAGAAACCTCCAGCAGAACCAGGCTCAGTGTGAGCGGCCATCTGCCAAGGCCGACTGGGGTTCAAGGAGACAGAAGCAGAGATACAAAAAGCAGCTGTAAAAGGCGGCCCCGTCCAGGAAACACACAGCCAGGCAGACGAGCTCCAAGGCAGCTCCCATGCCAGAGGATGAAGAGAGCACATCCACATAGCCACGGCCAGAGAAACAGGACCACACCTGAAGACAGGCCGATCTCCAACATCTACAATGTGTTGATGGAAGCAGCACAGCTGATGTTTCTTTCCTGGATGACGTCACAGCCAAACAGGATATATTATTTTTTACAGGAAATAAAAAATAAACTTATTATGATTAATAAGTATGGACCAGTGTAAAGCTGTTTAAAAAGAAAAAAAAGAGGGAGTCCCCCCTCCTTCCCTGCCTCTTAAATACTGCAGGCCGACTTGCTTCCGTTAAACTTAGTGTCGATGACTAAACATAAAAAAAAAAAAAAAGAGAATAAAACACAAAATGGCTTCCATGGGAGAGAAGAATCAAGAACACATATTTTCCAACTCATTTATCAGCTGTGATACTGATAATTTCTTGGAACCTTTGGGTCTTATTAAAGGTTTAGTGGAGGATGTTTTCTTCTTGTGGGTGGATCATCAAAATAAGTGGTCCTCCTCATTGACAATCATGCTGGTGATAGGTTTCTGCGCATGGGCGCTTTCAGGTTTATATGTTTGGTGTCATTAAAGCTCACCTTTCTCACCATGGTTCTTTAAAAATGGCGGAGGGTCGTAAGAGAAAAGGTGCCTACGAAGTGTATGAGAAGAAGAGAAAGGTCTCAGAAAAGAGAAACAAGACCAGTGTATTTTTTGGAGATTCTTTCATGCGATAGCTTACACTGATGCACAGGTGGGGCTTCCCACTGATGCCAAAGTTTCTACTCGACAGGCAAAGTTTGGTATGCTATTTGGAGATATCCATTTCAAATGGGCTCATGCATGCTCTCGCATGCATTTAATAGGCGTTCCCTCTAGGGAGTGTGTAAAGGATTCTGCATGTGCATTTATTTTAAAAGTGGAGAGGGCGGGTCTTTTAAAAAATTCATGAAAATCCTTGGATATCCACAACAATCTGGAAAAACAACATCATACCATGAGTCAGACTGGATAGTATGATGTTCCATGGCTGCTCTGCTGTTTTAGACATTTTTCTATATCTGACGGAACAAGCAATTCTGTTTTGACAGCATAATTTCCTGAAGTAGAATGTCAAACTTTCCTGAAAATGGCTTAAAATGTGAAAAAAAAAAAAAATAAAATTAAAGGCTTTGAAGCAGCTTTTTGAAAATCTAGACTGGACCAAAACCATCTAATTCAATAAAAAAATAAAAACATTTCTAAAATGGCAGTTAGCTAAATTCCTATGAAATACCTGATGGCATTAGCTTCTACAATGGAACTGGTTTTAGGGTTTTGGGGGCAATTTCTTTCTCACAAATGGTCAGGTTGTTTACTTGACTTGAAAACTGAATTTAGTATTGTTCAAGTAAATATTATAATTGGTCAAACAAAAAGCAGAACATTGTGGCTGTTTAGCTTCCAATTTTTATACAAATATAAACCTGCCTTCAACCAAAAGACGACTGATTATGATTCACCAAGGTGAGTGAATTCTGGGCTTTTCAACATGTGATGCTGTGTTGTGAAAATGTGGCTCATGCAGTGTGTGCACATTGTTTTTGATGTTTTGTGTGACGAAGGGGTGGTTGCTAAAAAAAATACAAGGTGAGAGAAAGATGGATGAGTGAGGAGGAGATGAAGTGATGCAGAGATGTGGAGCCAGACAGAGGAAATGGGAGCAGCGAGGCAGCCAGTAACTTGGGGTTATTAATGATTTCTCCTGAAGGTCACAGACAGTGTCGACATGGCTGGGTGGAATACATATTGACACCTTACTGTGTCAAGCACTGACAAATCAGCCGCCCCGACTAAAATGAAATGAAAAAAAAATCTTTTGCATTGATTTCAGTGGGGAAATCAGTAACAGAGAAAACAGACATGCAGGGTAAACTATGCAGATATTCTGGATCCTGCGTGGAAGCACATGATTTCTTCTTACCTAAAAGAACTTGTTTTGCTAAGTACATATAGTCAGCAGCACGCAACTATTAAAACCCAAATTATTGTCTGAGCGGAGCATGTTTTAAAGTTGTTGGAAATATTTTTGACACAGGTTTTCTTTAACTCAGATTATTTTTTTTGGGATGTTTGCACAGTCTTCTCATTTCTGTTGTTTGTTGTATGTGAATGATACAGAATCTCACTGTCAACATGTTATTATTTTATTTTGAAGGGGGCCAGTTTTGTTTCCTCTTGTGAGCAGATGGGGTAAAATAAAGCCTTAATGATTCCAGGACTGCATATGGACTCCAGAAGACACAATTTAATCACAAAGGATTTCTTTATGACCTCCATCTAAGGGCATTGCAATCATAAGATATATCATTTTATTTTGATGCTTTGTTGTTTGAAAACACGCTAGTGTATACAGTAACTGGTTACCTTTGTCCTGTGCTTCTGAGATCCACAATAGTTCCATGGTGAAAGTGAAGAGGTGAGGCTTAGCAGCTTCTAACATGCTTAAAAAGTAACCTCTGTGGATTCTCCATTTCTTTTCTGTGCATGCAGGTAAATTTCGTGAAAAGGCATCTATCCTTCACAAGATCGCTAAAAAGAAATGCCAAGTGGAGGACAGCGAGAAGGCCAATGGTGTGGCAAGCCGTGCAGGTAAAAACCTCAGTTTTTACAAGAACACACATTACCTCTATCCTTTTGACAATGTCACTATGTGATGTCGATCCCCTAAGAGGATACTGAGGGAAAATAAAGATAGAGCTAGCTCAGCCAGATCTGCTGAAGTATATCTGAAATAGAATAGAATCCATGTACTGTCCAGGTGAGGTTCTAGGATCTCTGGAAGTATTCTCTTTTTTGAAAGGTTACTTTATTGAAGGACTACAGTAATGTTCTCTTGGACTTAGTATTATGGGTTTTTTTTCTCTTAATATCTTAAATTTGTGGGGGGGTTTTGTAATAAAAAGGGGAATCTTTTAATATGGGCCTAAAAGTCATAGGCAAGAGCTGTATTTTGAGTAGAAAATGTTTAATGAAAAAAACAAAACAAAAAAAAACTACATGCAGGCTTGACATGAACGAGGCCTGGAGCATAGACATAGGCAGGCTTGTCATAAACAGGATTAGATAATAATCTAGCAAGTAACCCTGAGAAATGGGAAGCATTTATAGCTGGGGGAACAGGTGGCTGGCATGGGAGTAATGATGAGGCAAAGGTCTGAATGGACTGAATTAGCTTGATTGCTAGGTGACTATAGCTGGAGGTGGAGCTGATAACAGGGAAAACTACAAAACATGAGGAAAACACAAGCAGAGACCTAGCAGGGGTAACCTAATATGGAAAACGTTTGTCAAATGATGAGCTATTAACTATGATGAACTATGACTAAACTAAGCAATACTTAAAGATTGCATCATTCTCTTTTCCAGCTTCACTGCCTTTTTTAAATTTCTGCTTTCATTTTTGTGCAAATGCATCTATGCTTAATTCACATTCTCTTACATGCTATACATACAGAAAAACTATATATACACAATAAATCAAATTACAACTGGCAATTATCACAATTTTCACATGTTATTGAAATAAACTATCAATAGTATTTAAATAGAAAAAAAAAAAACAAGAGCAGGGAAGATTAGTGTGATGGTGAATACAGAAGTCAATTAAGCAAGAAGCCCAGCTAAGACGACCTCAATCCTCTACTATACAACCACAGCTCCACCACATTAACATCATCAGTAGCCGTTCAGATTCAATGTGCATCTAATAACCAGATAGAATAGCACATTAAGCATGCAAATGAAATATATCACACTCCCCAGAGATGCTGATTATTCATACCATACCATACCAACTTTATTTATGAAGCACTTTATGCACCGGACAGGACCAAAGTGCTGTACACAATCATAAAATACAATAAAATTATAAAATAGAGACAAAATCGACTCTTCTGTCTTTGGGCAGGAAGTCTTAGTATGCCATTTAGTATCAGCCAATGAGACCAGAAAAACTTCTTATAAAAGCGAATCTAAAATTCAGATTGTCGCTAGCTTAACTTGGCTGTAAACATTTTGTTCTAATTGACCAATCGGAGGAAGTTCGAGTAGCCTGCTAGTTCGCCCTGTGGGGCAAATCTGAAATCTGATTGGATGAAGAAAACATTCCTCACTAATTTTGGAGGTGACATCAGCCATTACTGCTGATTATGAAAGCCCTGGGCAGATTCGATTGACATAGCAATGAACTAAAAAAATATATATAACAACCACATAAATGTAATGGAAGCAGCACAGTCAAGAGAAACGCTACAAAATTAAGAGAATGAATTGTTTGGAATGAATTTATACAGTCGGCTGCTCAGTGTCACAGTGGGTATCAATGCTGCCTTGCAGCAAGAAGGTTGCGGGTTCAGTTTCACTTTCTGCGTTTATTTCCATGCTTTCTGCATGGAGTTTGCATGTTCTCCCTGTGCATGTGCGGGTTCTCTACGGGTACTCCGGCTTCCTCTCACACGACCTCACTCGGGGTAAATCGTGTCAGGTAATGGATGGATGGAAATTAATACAGTTTGATAGAAGAAAATTTAAGTTTAGGTTATGAATGTCAGTTAGTGGTTCTAGTTGATTTTAGGCCAATAAAGAAGGCTTTGAAGGCCATGACCGCCCACCACTGTTGAAATAGTGATTACAATTTTAAACAAATTATCCCCATTACTGTAACGTACAGGATATTGGACCCAGGAAACAGCTCAGACAGGTCAGTGGAATGCAACAGATTTTATTAATAATGAGTGGCACAGGGAGCGTGCAGGTGGCTCTCAGTCAGGAAATACCCTGTGGCGGAGACAACAGGTTAGTGATCAGCAATAGGGGAACTAGAGAGGGAGTGAGGCTGGATCACTAACCTGTTACTGGGTCTCAGAGTGGGCGACTGGCACCGTTTTGGGTCCGGGGCAGGAGTCCGTACGATGAAGGGGCTTGTGGAAGCGTTGGCCGTTGAGCAGCGGATGGTTAGCTGAGGACTGAGGCTGATGAGTTCCAGACACGGTTTGTTTATAGATTCCAGAGAAGGGGTCCAGCAAAGGTACAGAGGGGCAATCCAGAAGAGAGGTCCAGGTCCGATCGAGGGTCCGTTTACTGGCAGGTTGAGAGAAGCAGAGGAGTTAGGCAGACTCGGTTACTCACTGACTGAGTGGGGTTCAGGCTCAGAGGCAGGCAATCCAAGGCAGAACTGATGCAAGGGTTCAGAGTCAGATCTGGTTTGGATTCAGGGCAGGCAGACAGGATCAGATAAGGGATCAGGCAGGCTCGGTGAAAAAAGGCAAAAACAGGTCAGGTAACAGGTAGGCAGGCAAAATATAGAAATGCTGGAAGGTACTCAATGGTTGGTTTGAGACTATCTGGCACTGGGAACAGATCCAAATGAGCTATATATAGAGGTGGGACCAATTAGTGATAATCGCAGGCAGGGTGGAGTGAGCAGGTGTGTAGAGTTGGAGATTAAGCCAGCACCAGTGCTGAGATCGTCACAATTACATACTTTATCGCTCCTACTTAATATTATATTAGATGAACTGTTGGGCGTCAGAAGTCTCTTAACTGTTGCCTTAAGAGAAGGAATGGGAAAAGGTTTGGGTCTAATGGTCTAGACTGCATGGTCTAAACTGTTTTCACATCTTTCTCCTGTTTAAGCCTTAAATTCTTGGTTTCCCCTAGCCCCCTTTAAAGTAAACTATAATAAGACTTCACTAGCATTAAAAAAAACAACACGAATAATCCTCTCAGAATCTCAAAGATATGTTTTTGGTTGTATTGTGAATGCACTTCGCGCTGCATGTATGCTCATCCCAGTTAGTCTCTACCCTGGCTCCAAGCTATAGGGCCTCACTAAGTGGCTGCAACAGCCTATCCACAATCTTAATGGTACAGTACCACAATAAAGCCACTTTAAATGGAGAATCCTATATGTAGGCTCCCATTACAATATAGGGCTCCAAGCTGCGGGGGGCGAAGACCAGCACAACTCCTGCAAGTGTGGTTATATAAAACATAGCTCCAAATTGTGGGTAGGGTTTGTTAGGAGTTGGGAGTTTTCCGTTGCTAAAGATTTTGACTTTAGAACGAAAAGGAAGCCCTGCCAAATGTTTCAGAACATTTAGCATTTTTTTTTATCTCACAAATCTCACCGGTAAGACACCCTAGATAGCATTCTCCAAACTGCTTGCAAACCTCAGTTCTTTGAAACTCACTCAACCTTGATCTTTATTTAAAGAGAAAACTTTCAGCATTGGTCTTAGAAATACACATCGTAATCTGTCATTGTGATACATTATAAGTAAATGAAAAAAACAAAACTATTTTATCAGTTGATTTAAAAAGTTTCCAAGTACATGTATGATCTCGCTGAAACTTTCACTAACTCTATAAAAACTTGCCAAGATTTCCCCACTGAAATGATTAATGAGATCACAGCCGACTCTAAACAACCATGACATTACCAAGGACAGCCAAATTGATCGCAAGTGTTGTCTTCAAGCAGCGTTTGAATCAATCACACTCACTGCCAAGAGTAATTCGGCTGCTCCCTCCCCAGAAAATGCACTGGACCAAACAATAAAGAATAATCGCATGCCGAAAGGAACACTTTCATGGCTTCAGTGTTGACAGAGCAGCAGAAAGATCAAAAACATTAGATTATGCAAACAGTGCTACATTAACATATTACCCTCTTAATCAACATGCATCACTGGTGGTCATCAGAGAGGTCGCAGTTCTTTCATTTGTTAAGTTTCTTTTTCTTTCTAAAATGTATATCTAGTCAGTGTAGTGTTCATGATGCAAAGCATTTCATTTGGATCTGATTTTGATTTATCAGGATATCATAAAGAGGTGACGCCACGTGCTGGGATATAGTCATATTAATATGATGGTGAAGATTCTCAGTCATCCAGGTCTGCAATAGCACTTATTCCTGACACTCTGAATTGAAAAATCTTCTGGGATGGGAAGTGAAACGTCTTCAAACTTGGAAACAAAGTCCAGTAGATTATTTTTCCTTTTCTTTTTTTGGAATTGTCATATTAAGTTACATTATCTCTTAAGACCCGTCCTAATTGTGTCATAACCACAGTTGGGTTAAAACAATTTCCTCAGCAAATACAGTTTCATCATCTGATTACATGGCTTAGGGCTTTCTGTAATTTGGTAAAGATTGTTAAGTAAGTCCAACGTTATGTTTGAATGGAGGGATATAAGTTAAAGTTTAAAAAAAATTACTGATAGTACATAAAAGGACAGAACAGACACTGAGGTTTTATTCTTTTTCTTAACGATTAACTAGATTTTCCTGTGTGTTACCATAGAAAAGAACCTTCCGAACAGCTCCAGTGTGGAAGTAGAGGTGACCCCACCGATGAACGGAACTGCGGGGCAAGAGGGGGAGACGGTAAGAAAAAAATCAGCACAAGCAAAACGGCAGCTTTAAAGATAAAACCTCCGCTTCATGCAGATTGGTCGTGCTATTTAAAGGGAGCAGATCTGTGAGAGCACTCACGGTTAAGGCATTTATAAATAGTTTCTGCCTTTGATTTGTTCCTTTATTCCTCTGTGTGTGTAATTCATGCAAAGAATATGGCACAGGCCATTGGTGTTGATCATTTCCCAGTATATTTCCCAGTATTGCCCCTCCATCTGCAGCCGGACATGCTAACGACCCGCCTCTTCCCACAGAGTTCTATAATCACAGTTCTCGCTCACCTGCAGCTCATCACAGCCGGGTGCTACAAACGAGGTCTCTTTGACGAACTGCCACACACAGAACCGCACCTGCAGCAGTTGTGCTGGCATTAAAGATGGCGGTAGGGAGTGGCAACCCGCCAGGCGAGCAGACGGTCCTGGTGCATGTGGACAGGGATTCAAAGTCTCATGTTTTGAAGAGAACAGAGAGCATATGTGTTGGAATTTCTACCCTCAGAGCTAAAGCATTTAGCATTTTCAAATTTAGTGAAGCATTTATTTTAACCACCAGGGTTGACTCATTATTCAGAACTTCAGAGTCAAAAAAGTACTTTGTTGCTCCCAGTGAGCTTTCTACAGCAACTATTAAGACTTTAGCTCCTCTTTAAAAATAACCAAAATCTTCCCATTTAATCAATTACTCTGACTTATACTAGTTATAGCACAGATATATACATATATTCCATTTAGTTTATTTAAATGACTTACTTAAATCGTAAGTCAATAAAGCTTCAATTTGATTCAAGACAGGGGCGGAGCTAGAAGGGGGGCCAGGGGGGCCACAGTGCTGCCAAATTAGCACTTTTGTTGCTAAATCCAGCAGTTTTTCAGTTCCCCTAGCACCTTTATTTGAATAAAGCACAAACTTTTGCATAAAAGCAACAAACTCCGTCCTCCTGCGGGAGACAATCATTAGCCTGCCTTCCCCTCTCTCTCTCTCTCTCTCTCTCTCTCTCTCTCTCTCTCTCTCTCTCTCTCTCTCTCTCTCTCTATCTCTCTCTCTCACTGTCTGCTGTCATCATGCAGAGCAGGCTGCCTGTGCTGCAGCAGGCAGGTAAACCTTTCCACTTCGAACCCAGATTGCAAATGAAATATGCATGTGCAAAGCTGCTGCTAATCCCGCCCTAGTTTGAAGAAATTGAATCATGAAAATTTTTTTAAATAACAGTGTTGTATCACAAAGAATAATAGCAATTTCGATCCACAGCCTCATTCTCTCTCCATCTACTCCTTCAGTCTCCCTGTGTTTTTGCACTGCTACTTTGTTCTTCTTAGTGTTTTTATTTCATTTTAATTTTTGCTAGATGGCAAACAACTAATTATGCATTTATCTCACCAATTGCTATGGAGTGTGGAGCTAATGGCTGAATTATATGTATTTGTCTTTACTTGTTTCTTTAAACTCTCCAAATCCCCACGTTTCTTCCTTCCTGCTATCCTTTCTGCGTTGCTTGTACAGACAGCCCAAACCCCCCCCCCCCCCCCCCCCCAAAAGCCAACAATTGTAGGGATTCAGAATCTCCTGCAGGTGGATGACATGAGGTTTGCAAATTAGGTGCTGACATCACCCAGCACCTTCTAGTGCCTTTTAGAACAGCCAATGGCGACTTATCTTGCTGAAGAGTTGGCAACACTGGTCCCTGCCTGGCAACCACAATGAAAATGTTTGTACGCCACTGATCCAAGATAGAATGTGACCAGAGAAGTTATTGATGAAAATCCAGTTGTTAAAAAAGGTGTCTGTCTGAGAGAAAAATCTTGTGAAAAATTTGCATTCTACCTAAATGAGCAATGAGTAAGGACTTCACTGTAAAATGAACCTTAATCCTTCCAATGTGGGCTGGAGGTAACATTCCCTAATCAATCCTTGCCGTCAACGATTCAACTTTTTCCTAATTTAAACCTAGAGATATTGTCCAGAATTACCAAGGGGATTCTGGTTCCTGAGCTAATGTTACGAGAGTTCCTAGGGTTGCCCAGGCAATGAGCAGCATCTAATATTTTATGTTAGGAAAAGAGCAGAATCCTGCAAACATGGAAGCCAGCAAGGGAAGGTACCGGAAATAGTCCAAAAAATACATTATCGCACTCTTCAAAGGGTCAAAGGCTATTAATAATAATAAATAATAATAATTTAACTTTATTAATCTCACATTGGAGAAATTTACCTCTCTACTGAACCTGTATGGAACTTGGAGAGCAGAGGGCTGCCATTATGGGGCGCCCGGGGAGCAGTGTGGGGTTAAAGTTCAAATACTGTACAAAAAAAAATACTTATAGTTTCTCATTTGATAGTTTATCCAAAATTAAATATATCACAAGTGAAAAAAATTCCAGAATAGTGTTGTTTATAGCATAAAATAATTCACCAAGATAGCAGACGAGGTAAAATTCCTCATTCGGTCACATTACCACTGAGGCCCTATAGGATGCCGTGACTTCATTTTATTAAGGAAGTAGTCATTTTAGATAGCAAGTCAATATTTATTCACCTTTGCGATGGAGGTTTTATCCTTTAATGAGGACGAATATAAAGCAATCAGAGTCTTAGTGGTTTTATTAATGCTCACTTGTTTAATCACAGCTGCTAATCTTACGTAGAGCCTGTGGAATTTCATTATCTTTCAGAACATTCTCCAGATAGTTCTGTGTTTTAATTAGTTTAAACCAGAGTTTAACCTTTTGTTTGTATGGGGATCATAGGATTTGGACTGGTTCTGTGGTGGCTGGCTTCGGTTCGGTTGACAGTGCACTGCTGCGGCCGGGCATGAAGGGACGCACGCGGTCAGTGTTTTGGATGGAAGGCTGTGCTCTGCTGCTGCGCCTACATGGGGAATGAGGTTTCTCATTAATCCGATTGCAGCGAGCGGTCCAAGTGTTAGATTCAAAATATTGTGAGATCATATTTCATATAGGACAAAAATGAATCTGAAGCACAAAAGGATTTTGAAACAGCTTTTCCTGACCCCCAACAGAACAGCAGAGTCTTTTATTCACAGAGCAGAAACAAATGGGTGGGTCTTAAACAGAAAACCCTGTAATGATTATCTGGCAGGATGCAGGTCATAAGACAGTGTGAAATGACAATCTGGCTGGATGGAAGTCACACAACAGTGTGACTCTGCCTCATGACCTACTGGATGCAGGTCATAAAATTTTATGACCCTCCTGATTGAATCACAGGACAGAAATGTAGCATTATATTTCTTCAATGTTTCATATGCCCACACAATAATTTTATAATTATAACTCTAACACCAAGCACCAGATCCTTTCTGCTGTCCGGTTGGGAAACATTGCCCTTCGGATGTGGTTTTTACCCGGTTCGACTCATGACTCTGGGCCGGTGGCGTTCGAGCTGTGGTTCTCCACCTGTGGTAACTGACCCCTAGCCGTCACGGTTCTTGTTGCTCTGCAGCCCAGACCATAAAGTTATGGAAATCCATATGGGGCTGCGGCTATACTAAACTGTGCAACTAGCTAGGGTTCGTTGTTTTATTAAATAAAATATTTGATAAAAAAAAAACAATGCTTTGAATCAACTTTACTACCATCAGGCACTTTATTAAAGCTAAACAACAGAGAAAAAAAGCCGTTCCAACTTTGGTGTGTTGAATCTTACTGATGCTGTGAGAGCAGGATTAATGCTAAAAGAATCTAATCTAAATTGATCCAAACATAGTATTGTAACTGTATCAATTTGAATGGTTGATTTTGAATTGCTCTGAATTGACTTCAGTACCCCTGGTTGGGTCTCTATATCATTAGCATTTCACAACAAACGTTACACTAAACAGTTATGGTAATTGGCCTATACTTATAGAGCGCTTTTTCTTGACCAAAGCGCTCTACACTACATTTAGTCATTCACCCATTTACACACACACTCACACACTGATGGTGGCAAGCTACAGTGTAGCCACAGCTGCCCTGGGGCTCACTGAGAGAAGCGGAGCTGCCGTACACTGGCGCCACCGGGCCCTGTGACCACCATCAGTAGACAATGCAGGGGAAGTGTCTTGCCTAAGGACACAACGACACTGAAAGTCGGAGCCGGGACTTGAACCGTCAATCCTTCGATTTCAGGGCAAACTCCAACATCCGACGCCACTGTCGGTTATTAGAAAAGAATCAAAGACATTTTTTAAATTAATTACCACTTAATTAAAACATTAAATTGATGTTAGGTTTATTAAATAACATCCGATAAAAGTTGTCACATGACAAACATACTTTTTGAAAGAAGAATTCAGGGTAACAGGTGACTAGGTTTTAGCTTAACTTTCCCAATCATGAAATTCATAACTACTCGTTTAGAAAACGCACAGAAAACAAAATTTCTTTGGAATGTGTTAACTACTGTAGGTAAATGTAGTCTAATTAATTTAATAGAAAAAAATAACACTGGTGTATATTCACAACACAATGTAATTTACAATTTTGTTTGGTTCTTTTGAAAAAGTTAATGTACTGCATCCACAAAGCACTGAACATGCAGAAAGAAATAGATCCATCTGTCATGATGGGTTACAGAGCAAGCCCAATATGCAGAACACACACGGAGGCTGGATAAAAAGTTTAACAAAGTTTATTGAATCACAAGCACATGAATATTGCACTGGAACTGGAACTGGTCAGGGGGGCAGGTTCACTGGAGTCTGCAGGGATGACAGTTCAGTTAGCAAACGGACTGATGAGTTATGAGTCTTAGATATTTCTGAGGAACACCTTGAAGGAGTCTGGGTTTCTCTTTGAGAGAGGAAACTGTTGGATCCAGAGACTGTTTGTTCAGCAGAGTCCAATAATTGCTTCAGCGTCTTACTTCTGACTTTGAGGGCAGACCTTGATTTGAGTTTCCAGCTCTTAGCCAAGAGCTGCAGGGGAATCCACAGAAGAGTCTTCAGGTTTGGCTCACGAGTGCAGGCTCGG